GGATTTTTAATCCAAGAAACAGAAAAGTTTGAGAGCTAAAATTTTAGGATTATTTTCCCTGCCTGCATGAAATTCAACCTTCATGTACGCCTGGGCCTTATGTACGGCCACATGAAAGCTTTGACGGGAAGATTACTACCTCGGGAATCATAAAGCTAAGCAGCTGAAATTTTAGGAGGATGCTTCTCTCCGTGTACGATCTAAAGGTTTCAAATGCAGCCTTTACGTTCGCCAAGAACTCACGTGTAGACACTTAAAGTTTTGACGCGAAATCCTCTAACTTGCGAACTAGAAAAGCTAGAATGCTGAGGTTTGAGGGAGATACCTAAGCGGTGCCTCGCACATTCCATTTTAACTTTCACGTATGCGTAGGCCTCATATACGGACAAGTAAAGATTTTGACGCCAATGTCACTAATTCGAGAGCCAAAAAAGCTAGGAAGATGAAATTTCGGGAGGAATTTCACATGGAAATTTTTGGTTTGAACAAGATAGCTAAAACTTCCAGAGATACTTTCTATGCATGTCAAATCCCACAAACTTAAATTTGGCTTGCACGCACACTTGCGTTCCACATACGAACAGGTGAAATTTTTGATGGGAGTTTTTGCAGCTTAGAAATAATTGGCTAACGCACAGCCTGCCCGTGCGAAGATGCGTTTTTTGCATAGTTCCCCGCAGTTTCTGTCACTACTGGCACCGGTTTTTCCGGCAAATGCTTCTAGCTAAACAAGTTAAGAGTGGCCGCCAGAAGTGTCAGAAAACACCCCCTTAAAATTTGAGCTTTCTAACTTTTCAGTTCCCCGATTTAGCAGCTTTTCCTAAAAAACCTTGGTGGGCCCAACGTGGGTATCACGCACAGCCGGTGTCTGAATTTGAGCTCATTAACACCTACTTGGATGGGAAACATCCCCTTAAAATTCCAATCCTGTATCTGCCCAGGTTTCCAAGTTAGCAACTTACCCGGAAAAAAAATTTCACGCGCCCATACTTGGGTACCACGCGCACTCTGTGTTTGAGCTGATTAATATCCACTGAGATGGGAAACATCTCTTTAAAATTCCAATTC